CCGGCTGCCCCCCGGGGCGCCTGGCGCTGCTCCCGCGTCCGACCCCGGCAGCAGGGGTGCTGGAGCCCCCGGTCCGCGCACCTGGGCCCGCTGCAGCCCCCGCCCTGGCCCACCCGGCCTCCGCTAGGCCGTGCGGCCTGCTGGGTGGGAGAGAACCAGCCTGGGAGCTGGGGGCCACCGGCTGACCGGCCAGCCCACCCACCGCGAGCAGAGGAGGGAGGGAGCAGGCCGGGGCGCGTGGGAGACAGTGGGCTGCGCTGTGGGCTGCCCGGCCTTCGGGGTGGGGGGCCGACGTGGCCAGGCCGGGGAAGCACTGGGCGGCCCCGGGGACTCTCGGGACCTGCCTGCCTGGGGGGGGGAGCTCCTGGCCGAGCCCTGGGTGGGAGCGGAGCTGGGGCAGGTGACCCCTTCCAGCCTGGGGGGCCTGCATTCGTGCCCCCCAGCTGCACCCGGAGAACGGCCAGCGCCGCCCCGAGAGCAGCCTCGTGCAGGGCAGGGGCAGCCGGCTGGGCCGCGCTCCAGCAAGGGTTAAAAGGCTGTGGGTAGCGGGCAGCTGCAGCTCGCCCCACGCCTGGCCTGCAGGCCGATGGGTAGCGCTGAGCAGGTGGGGCAGCCCCCTGCCCGCTGGAGAGAGGGGCAGGGGCTGTTCCCCGGCTGCAGGGAGCGCGGGGGCCTTGGCAGAGGTAAGGGGGGTTGCCCCGTGGCCCCTGTGCGTTTGGGTTTCTCTCTAGGGCTGAGACCAGCCGGCTTGGCCCTGCTGGTGCCTAGTGGTGAGAGCTGGCGGCTTTGCCCTGCTTCTGCTCCCACAGCCCCGACGCGCAGAGCCCCCGGGGCCCGTGCCAGTCCCGGCCCTGGCGCTGTCTGCTCCGGCCTCCGCCTTATCTGGGGCTCTCCGGGGGGAGGCGGCTGCGCCTGGGCCAGCACATTCCCAGCCGGGCCGCGAGCCCCGTGGCGCGGGGGAAAGCCCTGGCCGGGGTCTGTGGGAACCAGACGGCCCCTGGGCACAGCTCGGCAGGGCTTGCTTCCTCCCGTGCCCCCGGGGACTGTGGGAAGGCGGGAGCCGAGGTCAGCCGCTCCGGGCAGGCCAGCGGCGTGGCCAGCGCGGCCGCGTTCCCAACCCGTGTTTTTTCACTGGGGAAATAAAAATGCAAGGAAGGGGCGACGATCCAGCCCGGGCCCTGCTCCCGCAGCCCCGCGCAGCGCAGAGCCGGGCTACGGGGGCGGCGGGAGCGGACAAGGGGTGACGTGGCTGTGGACACTGTCGGTCTCCGAGTGACGCCAGCGCCTCGCCTCCCCGTGGGCTCCCTCCGGCTCCGAGACAAGTGAGCAGCTGGCGGGCCCCGGGACCCTCGGCGCCGTCCCACGCCGTGCCCCTCGCCACCCTGGCTCGTGGCAGCCTGGGCGCTGCGTTCCCCTCCTTCCCGGAGGGGAAAGCCCCTGCGTCCCGCGTGCAGGGCCCGGGATGGGGCTGGCAGAGGGGGAGCAGCGTCTGCTTGGGGTGCGGTGGCTGGTGCTAGGCTGCCCCAGTGCAGCCAGCTGTCTGGGCACGGACCGCCTGGGCACGGCCAGAGGTGCCCGTGGGCCACACAGCAGGCTTCGGTCCGTGTGCCAGACCTCCGTGCTGCCTCCCTGTCGGGACCGCTGTTTGCGGTGCCGCCCTTGGCACCATGCAGGCGGGTGGAGAAGGGCTCTGGGTGTGTCCCAGACACCGCTCTCCTTGGCTGCGCTCCGTGCGGGTCTGGCGAGATCCCATGGGAAGGCGCAGCCCAAGCCGGGGACCCGGCTCTAGGACCCGGCCTCGTGGGGTGCTGGGCTTGCCCGGAGCCGTACAGAGGAACAGAAGCAAATGCCGGCTGGGCAGGGAAGCAGACCGGGCATCCGCTCTGGAAACCTGCTGGCTTATTAGTCCTTCGAGGCCCCTCCAGATTTGCCGGGGCCTCGGAGTGGGAGCCGGTGGCACGGGACGTGGGCGGGCTGTCCCGTTCCCCATCCTGTTGCTAGCGGCTGTGGCTGATGCCCCTTCCTCCCCCGGCGCTGCCCCGTCTGCGAGAGGGTGGAGGGCCAGATCCTGCGGCCCGGGAGCCGCGTTACCTCGTGCGGCGCGTGCCGAGCTCGTGCCCTACTTTATCCCTGCCTCCCCCACCCCGGTGCCCGTGGCAGTTCCTGGTGGCTCCTGGCGAAGGGGCTTCGGCCCCGGGCCTGGCTCTTCCTGACACCGGCCCAGCTGCCTGCGCCAGGCGGTCGTGGGGAGCACGGGCGTCCCGCCCCGGCTGGGCTGGGCATGGGGGGGCAGGACGCAGGAGGGTTGAGGGGCAGCTGGGTCAGTCGAGACCAGCCCCTCGTGGACACCCTGGCGGGGCTCCTGGCATGGATCCTGGGGGCCGAGGGCACGGCTGCAGCCCAGCCCTGCCCCACGCCCCGCACGTTTCCCAGGGAGTCACCAGGGAGCTGTGATTCAGGCCCACGTGGCCCCCTCCCTTCCTGGCCGCGGCCCACCCGCCCCGGTGATTAAGGCCGGAAGAATCCTGCAGACTGCGCTCACTTTCCCCTGCTCGGCTGCGGTCTGCCCGCGGCTCCGGGCCCTGCCGACGGGCTTGTCGCGGCTGGCTGCAGGACGAGCGGCTCCCCGGGCAGCGCTGCGCTGGCCTGGGCTGTCCTCGGGCTCCAGGCACTGAAGCAGCTGGAAGACCCCCGGCCGGTCCCGTTCCCCTTCCCGGAGGGCAGCCCCCCGCCCCATTCCCAGGCCTCCCGGGCCTCTGACCCCGGTGACGGGAGGTTTGTTGTCCTGGCCACGGCTCTGGGAACTGCCACCTTCCCAGCTCGCAGCCCTGCCCAGGCGAGACAGGGATCCCAGCTGGGACCTGGCGTGAAATCCTGGCCTGAGCCAGGGACACGGTTGTATCAGGGGGATGAGGCTGCCTCGGTACTTGCATTGCGCTAGCCCCGCGGCACTGCAGCTAGTTACCACGGCTGCTGCATCCGTCTGGCCCTGGCCCCATAGGCTCCCCGGGGGGCATTCCCCTGGGGCTGGGGCTGGGGCTGGGGCTGTGCTGTCAGGGCTGCCCCGCGGGTGGGAGCCCAGGGTCCGTGGTGAAGCCCAGTTGCCAGCGCAGAGCAGGTGGGACGTGCCCTCGCTGTGCCCAGGGACAAGTGACCTGTGAGGGGCAGGGAATGGGGCGCCCCTCCCATCTGCGGGGTGCCAGGGCAGCAATGTCCCCCCACCCCGGCACGGGCCCAGGCAGACACCGAAGCAGGCAGCGATGGGGGAATGCGCTTTATTCCGCAGGCTGGCACCGAGTCTGTCCCCGGGCCCATAGGATACAAGCTGGGGCAAAGGGGTTGGTGGCAGTGTCCGGACCCCCAGGGATGCCCCCGGCAGCCGGGGTCCGTGCGGGCTTTGCCGGGCCGTCCCCAGCGGGAGGCAATAACTTACGCGGGGCGTCTGTCTCTCTCGCACAGCCGGCTCCCGTCACTCAAAGAAGAACATGCCCGGTGTCCGGTAGATGCATTTGGGCAGCCCCAGGTGGTAGCCGTTGCCCCCTTGCAGGGGGAAGGCGGCTCCGGACCAGGCCTCCTTCTGGTCCCCGGGCAGCTGGAGGGCCGGGTGGAAGGCGGGCGGCTGCACGGGCGCCCCGGGGGCCGCGGGCTGGGCCGAGCTGAGGATGTGCTCCAGGGCCGAGCTGCACGGGCGCTCGTTCATGCAGAAGCTCAGCGCTTGCACGCGGCACTGGTAGTTCCCGCTCAGGGCGTCGGTGCCCGCGCAGCCGAAGGAGCCGAACATGGGCAGCGCCGGCTTGACGTAGGCCTCGCCCTCGAAAGCAGGGAAGCAGGCGGGCGAGGGCTGCCGGCCGCAGGGCAGCGGGGCCTTGCCGGGGCCCAGCAGCGGGGCGGCGAACCCCGGGGCCACCTGGCCGAAGGGCTGGGCCAGCCCTAGGGCGGGGGCTGCCGGCTCCTTGGTCTCCAGCGCGCTCTCCGTGAGCACCGCGTCCGGCAGCGAGTCCTTGATCTCGGGGGCCGGCTGGCTCAAGCGCTCCCCGGGGCCGGTGTAGGGGCTCAGTCGAGGCATCGCGATGTGTGGCTGGAGCCCCGCGAAGATGGGCTCCTTCAGCAGGGGCGGCTCCTGCCCCCGGCTCTCCGGCAGCGGGTAGCACGGCTCCTTGAAGAGCTGGGGCTTGGGCTCCAGCCCCGGCCCCTCGGGCAGGTACAAGCACGCCTGCCGGGGCTTCTGCAGGTACTTCCTGGGCTGCTCCGGGCACCGGGCTCCGGGGTCCACGCTGCTGTGGGCACGCTCCTTGGCATCGCTCTGCGCCTCCACGGAGAGCGGCTGGCTGGCCCCGCTTGGCTCTAGCGGGGAATAGCCACCCTCGGTCTTGATCGCCGGGGCCGGGGCCGGGGCCGGGGCC